AAGGGATGCCCAAGAAAAGTGGCGCCCCCCCCCCCCCGTTTTCTGTGCTGGGTGATGACCTGACACCCATGGGAAAAGGTCACTGCTGGATACCTGGATCGGGTCTGTCATGTACAGAGGAAGCGGCTGTTCTACGTGAGTTTCTAACACATTTCTTATAAGGCGAGGTTTAAATTCATCTCCACCACTCCTCTCCTAGGTCTGCTACAGAAGTGTCTTGTAATTATCCCCCCTCCCCCAACTCTCTAAGACTGGTGGCAACTTAGGTTGTTCGAGAGATGTGCCACTGACACTGCCCTGGGAGTTTCTTGGAAGTGTGTGGGGGGGAATATTTCTATAACCAGTGGGGATGAAAAACTGGCTAATGTGTCAGTGGTATCAGTAGAATTTCCTTATGAGTCTAACGTCTTTCTTCTAAATCAAGGAGAAATGTGGTTACACATGAAAAGTACCAGGATCCAATTTGATTTTGCAAGTGAAGTGCAAATTCCACTTCCATGGGTGCTCTTGATGTCTTTTTATCACACAACAACAAACACTAGGCATATGCCAGGCACTCTGCTGTGTCTTGGGAATACAAAGATGAATAAGATAATTTGTCCTTGTCTTGAAAGAAGTGGTGGGAGAAACGAATAAAATTGCTAGTAAAAGTGATTAACAGCATAATAGATGGGTATATAAAGAGCCACGGAAGTACAGAGGAGGGAACAATTAGCTGTCTGAAAGGATCAGGGAAGGCTTTACAGAGAAGAACACATTTCAGCACGGTGTTGAAGGATGAATAGGAGTTGGCCTTGCAGAGAAAATTGGAGAGGACAGGAAGGGCAGCCAAAGCAGAGGGCACAGTGAATGCAGCCACATAAAGAATATGCTATCTCCAGGGAATGGCTTGACATCCCAGCCATGGCCTTTTCCTTCCTTGTAATGTAACTTTCTAAAAGTAGCCTAGAATTACTCATTCCTACCACCGTTTTCCAGTGAAATCTTTTTTCTTATGGTTTTTCTCCCCTATATTCTTCCCTCTTCAGTTTTCTGAGGCTCACTCCTGGTCTTTATTGTCCAAATCTTTCCATGTTAGTGTCTAACGAATGGAAGTGGAAAGGGGGTAACGTATAATAGCTCTGAATTAGAGGGCCTGAAAACTAGGCCTAATGTGTGACACTAGAGACAGCATCCTGGGAGTGATGATCTAATCTAGGGAAGAAATTCTGGGTCTTAACTAGGGAAGCATGCTAGATGTCAAATATGTGAGACCTTGGGAAATGAGTAATAAGATCAGAAGCTGGAAAGCTCTGGATTAAGGGAGGATTGGACTGTGATATGGGTCAGAGCAAGCAGTTCAGAACTGAGACCATGAATCATGCGAATGTGATGGAGCATACTGTTGTGTGGTACCAGCTGTGAAGAACAGCAGTGGCTCTGTCAGACTGGGCCATGTCCTCCATAGACTCTCCCATGCCGCCTTTCTTTCACTCACCCTCCTATTAGTCTCTTCTCTTGATCCCAATCTCCACCCACAATCTGCATTTATTGGACTTCTTTTAATAAGATCTTGGCCACCAGAACAGAGAAAATCCTGTTTTGCTGTCTTAGCATCTATCTCTAGGACTGCAAATAGTCCGTTTTACCTCATAAGCCATCAACTAGCCAGCCTATTTTTACTTCCTGATCATTTGGAAGCAAAGCAAGGATGGGCCCAGAAATAGTAAGGTAGACCTCATCCCCAAAACTCATCCACTATTTGAATCAGATGTAAGGCCTTTTTGTTTTGCCTACACCAAAATGCATTTTTAGAATTATTTGTGTCGATTTTTGGCAAATGTCCTGTTTTGAACTATATTTCAGACCAAGTCATGTAAAGAAGTTGTCACTGGGGTGACATGCCTCATGAGCTCTGCTAAGATTGATGATTCTGTAAGTGCTAGGAAATCATGGGTGGTGTTTAAGCAATCTTCCCAATCAACATATTTACTGAACACCTGCTTGTGTGCAAATACTATGCTGTATTTGTGATTTGGAGGAGACAGGAAAATGAGAGAGGTGGTATAATATGGGAGTCATTCTTAGCTAAACAAGGATTTGGATCCCAGGACTTGCTAGATGACTTTGGACTAGTTATTTGACTTCAGTTTCTCCATCTGTGATAATGCCATTTACCCCATATAGTGATGAGGAGTAAATCATTACAAATGTAAAGCAGTAATTCAGTACCTTTTGAGATGCTAAACATGTGGCATTATAGGAATTAAGAAAGGAGAAAGATCATTATGGACTATGATTTCAAGGAAAGCTTTTTTAGATACGTGGGGAATTTTGTTGGAAGGAAAGCTGAAGGGATTTCCAGATAGGTAAGGTAATGTTCATAAAACATATGGCCAGAATGTAGAAGAAAGTTTTCAAGAGTCAGTTGATGGGACTGGCCAGCCTGGCAAGATCAAAAGGTTTAAATAGAGAAGTTGTTAAGATTGGAAGGGTTGGTTTAAGCCAGATTGCAGCAGGCATTGAATGCTGAACTGAGAAGTTAAAGCTCTAACTTTATCCTGTAGATGATTTTAAGTCAAAAAAATTTGGTTAGGAAAGTGTAGGGTCATGAAAGTAGTATTTTAAGGCATTTTTCAACAGCAATATGGAAAATAAACTTCAGTAGAGAGAGAGAAAGAGAACTGCACAACAAGTTAGTAGGTTATTTAAATAGTCTAGATGTGAGAGGACTAGGAATTTAATTAGGGTGATATAGTAAAACTAAGAAGAGATGGGTCAATACGTATTATAAAGGAAAAGCAAACAGGACTTTGTGACTGATTGAATATGGAGGACAAGAGATAAAGTGACATCAAATAGTGTCTTGACCCTGGGTGAAGGATTAGCAGAAACAGAACAGAAAGAAAAGAAAGCCCATTTTGAGGAGAAGAAAAGCTAAGTGCTAGATATTTTGAGGTGATACTGAAACTCCTCAGTGGATACATTCCACAATTATTTGGAAGTGAGGGGTTAGTGTTCAAAAGAGAAGTCAGGGAGTTGTATGTAATAGAAGTATATGAAGCCATATTATCAACTGGGTTCACCAGTGGTAATAGTATAGAAACAGAAGTATAAAGGACTAAGGACTGAAGCATGGAGATTGCCCACATTTAAGGAGGTAGAGAGAAGGAATGAAGTTATTATGTTAGAAAATAAGGAATAAGCCGGTCTTGGCAGCTCAGCCTGTAATCCCGTGCTTTGGGAGGCTGAGGTGAGTGGATTGCCTGAGCCCGCGGGTTTGAGACCCACCTGGGCAGTAAGACCTCATCTCTACAATAAATTAAAAAAAAATCAGCCGGGCGTGGTAGCGTGCGCCTGTCATTCCAGCTACTTGGAAGGCTGAGGCGGAAGGATCACCGGAGCCCAGCAGGCGAGGCTGCGGTGGCCGGGAGCGGCCACTGCACTCCAGTCTGGGTGACAGAGTGAGACTCCAACTCAAAAAAAAAAAAAGCCAGATTAAAGAGAATTGTGGCATGAGATGCAGGTAAGAATTAGAGACAACATACAGATCACCCCTTGTATGTTTGGCAATGGAAGGAGGAAAAGAAATAGGAAAGTGGTTAGAGAAGGTAGTAGAGTCAAGCAGAAGATTTAATTTTCCTTGTCTGCTTCATTATTTTAGTTGTCTTCAAATATTATTCTCTTTCTTTCATATCCTAAATTGCAATTCATTTTAACCTTACAGCTGTGATAACTTTAATAATATAGCTATATTTATTGAGTGTTTACTATGTACTAGGCATTGTGATAAGCACTTTTTATACATTCTATTTATTATTCCATTTGATTCTCCCATCACTGGATTATAACTCCACAACCTCTTGGCAACACAGAAAGGCTAAATAAATTGCCTAAGATCACATAGCTAATGAACGGCAGAGATGGGATTTGGATCCAGCTCTTATAAAGACCCATGCTATACTGCCTCTGAAGGCAGGGCCAAGCTTCATGGGTATGTGACCTGTGCAGTTTCTCAGAGCCTGTGTATATAGAAGTTTCATGCTCTGGTGTTGCCATCTTGAAATTCTTAATCATTTTTTAACAAAAAGTCCTGCATTTTCATTTTCCACCAGGCCCCACAAGTTACGTAGCTAGTTCTGCCCAAGGCATCAATACCATTTCCTGAAGCTGGGAAGGCATTTTGTGCTATAGCCTTTGGTTTGAGTAGTGGCCCAACTTCCTTGCTGTGCAGTGGCGCACAATCACATTTTCCTGTGGTCCTCTCATTTTGGACTCCTTGAATCTGGTGGTATGAGGGACAAAGGGAAATATTTTGAACTTTAAATGGATACCTAGTCAGTGTGCAAAGAATAGAGCATAAAAAGGCAAGGAATTGTTTACTTAGAATGACTTCTGGAAACTCATCCATTACAATTTGAGAGTACCACTGGATAGAATTACAGTCCTGATGCTGTTGTCATTCCCAATTTAAATACAATATGAGTTCATTTCTTTTCCTTTTGTAGTTCAATAAACCCATTTGCTCATGGGATGCTATGGAAACCATTTTTCCACTTACTGAAACAGAAATTGGAATGGAACAGGTGTACTACAGTTTGTCTGCCCTAATCTGGTGCCTCTTTAGCCAGGCTGATACAACCCTTCCACCCTCAAACCATTGACTACCCAGCTGCTTTGAACCCAAGCGTTTACCACGATTGTTTGGAATGCTCCTGTTCTATTCCTGCCTTTGTGACCTGCTCTATTCCTTCATCTACCCTTATGGATCACAAAAAGCAGAAAAGCTTAATTTTTTATATTTTCTCTCATTTGGGCTCTACAGTCACTACTTGGAACTGATAACAAATTAGGTATTTTTGGTTCTCATGGCTATTACTCTCTCAACAATGACTTTTACCCATTCTCTTGCTCCTCCAACTCCTGGTCTCTCCGAGTAATGATTTGGCCATGTTCCAGCATCACTTGACACTAACTGACCACTTGACCAAGTCCTACTCCAACCAACCAGGATTCCTTTGTGGAAGAAGTCAGACAAGACTGAAATGCCTTCTCCCATTACCTGTCTCATTTCCATTCAGAGTGCTTCTTCTCATTTTCTATTCCCAACAAAGACCTGGTAAGCCTAAAACTATGTGAGATTAGAAATGTGAAGA